TTTCTTCCCGTTAAAGCGCAGCAATCATTGTAAGTTTGCACAGAGGGATGATTGCTGAATCTCTGTAACTCAGCAGCTAGGTTTCATGAGATATAAACACATATAACAACTGGAAATATACATCTTTAACCTGAGTCCTATAGTTCAGTTACCAAGATATAAAATTAAGAGGATAAAACCATCACTAATCTGTCTTCATGTGACAGGATTCTGCTTTAGTTCATTTTTTAAAAACTTTTTATTTATTCTGTTGCTCTTAGGTTAATCTAAGCTCATTTATTTTAAATAACCAGTTGGATTATCATTGTCTCTACTAACAAAACATCACGTCTAATATAAATAATCAAATAAATGCAAAAGTCACAACAAACCATGGCAAACTTACTAAAATAAAAACACAAACATGATAAGAATAACCAAGATATAGTTCCTAGGTAGAGCATTAAAGTCTGACAGATAAAAAAAAAAGGGTTGATCCTGATACAAGGGAAATAAACTGTTTAATACTACTCAGTACATAAAAAGAAAATTACGTTGTCTAAATCAAATATGTTATTTCTATCTACAGGTAGATTAAGAAAAAATAAGCCTTTCATTAGTTAACGTTCAAATCTAAAACACAGCACTAATACAGAGTAATTATATACCAAAATGAGAGCTACAACAAATTTGTTATTTTGTGAAAATAAAAATGCTGTAATAAGCAAGTAAATAAAACTAAACCATTGAACAAATCGTGATATTTATTGTAACCCCCCGAAGCTAGCTAAACGCACTGACCCAAAGCTAGCTTAGCTGCTCCAACCAGCAGGATTGTTCATTAGAAAATAACAGCAAGTCTTCCAAGTCTTTAACCGCCACCAAAACAACATAAAGATAGCAAATCAACACTTTACCCGAGTTCTTCTCTTTTACCACAAAGCAGGGGGAAAAAACGCGTTTCCTTTTTAAAATATCTCTTCTAAAGCCAGTCGTTCCGACCTTAACGCTGCCTGAACCAGAAACAAAACAATCATGGCGGGTGAATTTTTTCAAATTCTGTCAAGGTGACGCTGATTGGCTGCCTGCCACTACGACATCGGCCTGTGATTGGTGTTCTTACCTACCATACAGGAAGACATTTTCAACAACACTTAAAGTGACAGCGAATGATGCATAAGAAAATTTATTTGCTCGATTGGTACTTTGCTCCAGATGTAGATTGCGTAATAAAATGTTACATTTTATTATTTAGTATTGCTAAAAAAAAAATTTTTTATGTTTTATGATTCAGTCATTGCTAGATATATAAATATATATAACCACACATTTTATATATATATATATATCTGGATCCCAACTGTAGAAGTTCTCAGATGACTAGACAGTAGAACCATGTTAGTTAACCCTTAGCAAAAAGTAGTTTATTCAAGTATACTAAGAGTGCACTAATTTCATACTTCATAATACATCAGGCAGTGCACTTAGAGTTTACTAAAGTATATTTCATATACTTAACAATAGTACAGTCAAGTGTACTTGACAAGTATACTTCAAGCATACTTTAATAAACTTAAAAATGTCCCAATTTAGTTTGAAGAAGTATTACTTTTGTAATACTTCAAGTACACTAAAAGTACATTGTTCAGTATACTTTCTAAACTTATACTTAAAGGAATAGTACACCCAAAACATGATTAGCCTTCATTTTCTACTCACCCCCATGCTGAACAACACTCTGGAGTACTTTTTTGATATCTCAAAATGCATCTGGAGATCTGGGAGGCTTCTTGCTGTCTGCTGACATTCAAATAATGGAGGTCTATGGCGCCCGAGACAGAAAGGTCCATAAAAGTCCACAAAAAACGTGTCAATATTCCTCCATACTGCTCGTCCAATGTATTCCAAGTGTCCTGAGTGGGTAGCATCCAGAATTTACTCGAAACGAATTCATTTAGAATGTTTTTAGAGCATAAACAGTAGTGTATAGGATTTCCAGAAAGCGCGCACATGCGCGTTCACAACGCTACGGAAGCCGGCAGACCAAACCAGCGCATTCAGCTCGGCAAAGAACTCATGCTCTTCCTCAACACTGAAGTCCTCAGACATTTTTCTTTCGTTGTTTCTTTCTTTGCACAGGTAAACGGCACATTTCTTCTTCTACGCTTGCATTATTGGCAGAGCACACGCTGAATGCGCACTTTCTTCTGGTTTGGTCTGCCGGCTTCCGTAGCGTCGTGAGCGCGCATGTGCGCGCTTTCAGGAAATGCTATACACTACTGTTTATGCTCTAAAAACACTTCGTTTCGAGTAAATTCTGGATGCTACCAACTCAGGACACTTGGAATACATTGGACGAGCAGTATGGAGGAATATTGACACGTTTTTTGTGGACTTTTATGGACCTTTCTGTCTCGGTCACCATAGACCTCCATTATTTGAATGTCAGCAGACAGCAAGAAGCCTCCCAGATCTCCAGATGCATTTGAGATATCAAAAAAGTACTCCAGAGTGTTGTTCAGCATGGGGGTGAGTAGAAAATGAAGGCTAATCATGTTTTGGGTGTACTATTCCTTTAAGTATTCTTAATAGAATTTACCTCAAGTATACTACTTTTTACTAAGGGAAATGTCCAAATAACCTCCACAGATGCGGAACCACCAGGGAACTAATGTTAGACATCTAGGTGTTGACCTCAACAATGAACTGGATTGGATGAACAGCAGTGGTGCTCCTTACAGAGATAGGCAGAGCAGGTTCTACCTGCTGAGGAACCCAGTGAGCGAGAACTCCTGAGGACCTTTAACTTTGGTTGCATCAGCCATCTTTTAAGGTTCGACATGTGTAGAAGTTTATTAGCAACTAAATTAAGAGGGTCATCCATGTGATCCTTAGACACAACACAGCTGGAAAATGCCATTTAATTGACAGAGCCATTGGAAAGCTGGAGAACGCATTCAGGAAAAGACTGGAACCCTAGGCAGTCTTTCTCTCAGATGCTGTTAGATTGTAGAACCTTTTCTGCTCCCAGCAGACCAGATGGTGTTTAAAACCATGCATTTTTCTGATTAAGACCTGCTCAATATTGTTTTGACGTATGTTAATGTCTATAGTAGTTGACTATTGCAGTTTCTTTTGTTTGTTCTTTCTTCAGGGTCTACCCATCCATTAAACCAGGGTGTTTTTATAAAGCTAGATTTAATAATGTATTTTGTCTGTGGTTTCAAAGCCCACCATGTATCAAATATATGTGGACATTTATGCACTATTTTTGCATGTCACGTATCACTTTACTTGGATCTATAACTTTACTTGGATTTAGTTTTACATATGCATATATATACATACATACATATATATATATATATAAAACTGTAACTGGAGCGTGTAACAAAAGTAATTTCCCTCTGGGATTATTAAAGTATTTCTGATTCTGATATTCATTTCCAAAACACAAGCGATAGGAGAGGACTGGAGTTACCATGTTTACAATATTTTATCAGAAGGCAAGAAGGCTATTCCCAGGAGAATAGGACAGAGACAGCCCCCTAGACCATCATTAAAAATATTAGTGTGAAGAATGGTATCTCTCTTCTAAGCGCCTGTGTTGCCTATAAATAAAGGTACAGATTAATCATTTAACAGTTAGGTGATAAAAGGTATTAATGCTTAGAAAAATGTGTATGTTAATCAAATATTTGCTTCATTTAGTAGGTTTAGGGACCATTTTTCCCCATCAACACTCGCTTATTCAGATTTTTACTTGTTCAAATTTATGTCCAACATCACTTTCCAAATTTCTCCCCCAAAAAAGATTTGCAAGTTGCTTCTTGGATCTCTAGAGTAAAAACAAAACTGGTTTCAGGCTTTGTTGACATATTTATAGAGAAATCTAAACTTGCCTCAAGCTCCCTTTAGGCTGCATGGGAGGAGAAACAGGGAATAAAGATTGAGAATGGCGTTTTGGAGGAGGACCTGAAGAGGATTCATTCTTTCTCCATTAATATAAAACATCAGTTTATTCAGGTTAAGGTTAATTCACAGATTATTTCAATCCATCTCCACTGAATGCCATAGATATCAGTCTGCTGATGGATCGCTGTCTCATTTACTCCTGACCTAAGGTCTGACAGTATTGGTCTGGTGTTCTGGAGAAAAATAAATGAATAAAAAAGTGTGTGATCCGGATCCAGTGTATTAACAGGGTTATCTTTATTTTCGACTTTCTGCACCCCTATGGAAAGGACAGTTGCATATGGAAGGTATGTCTGACTGAGCGCATTGAGATACTCTACATAGTAAAATTATGATATAACTTCTTGGGTTGTGCCAATAAGTATTTCAAGATCCCCAACATGCAAGATGTTTTTGGCTGAATGTTACTTGTATGAGGTAACCGTCTCCCCAAGTTATGTTGTAAAAAAACATGTAATCCTGTCTTTTCTGTTTTGTTTGCTAATTATTTGTTTGTTGTGTCCCTGATTTTGTCTTTATTCCCTTATGTTGTCTATATTTTGCAAAATTAATAAGGAACTTTTATTTTTTCTTTTACATTAAAATAATTCAGTTTTACCTATGATTATCTATATTTACAACTGCAGATTTTTTTCCCTTTGATATAATTTTCTCCCGTTTTACAGCTTCACTTATAAAATATTATTTTCCTCATATTTTTTAGTCCTGGTTGTACAGTTGTGCTTGAAAGTTTGCACACCCTTCCATTAAAGACAGAACAAAATCAGCTGCCAGTAAAACAAATAGAAATTGGCAAAAGTAATAATTGAAAATTATAATATTAAAAGAAATGGAAATCATGATATAGTGCCTTGATCTTTTTGACCTTCTGCCATATCAGGCTTCAAACAAAGATATAACATTTTAATTTTTGGTGAAGAATCAACAAGTGGGAAACAATCATGAGGTGGAACAAAGTTTATTGGATATTTTAAAAGTAAAAAAAAATAAAATAAAATGAAAAAATTAGGTGTGCAACATTAACATTGAGTTAATACTTTTAGCGCCACCTTTTAATGCTGGCATGTCTGTCAGTTTTGCACAGAAGAGACTGAAATGTTTGCCCCTTCTTCCTCCAAACAGCTGGAGCTCAGACAGGTTGGATGGAGAGCGTTTGTTAAAAGCACTTTTCATTTCTTTCCGCAGAGTGTCGATTGGATTTGGTGTGGACTTTGACTTGGCCATTAAAACACCTGGATATGTTTGTGAACCATTCCACTGTAGATTTAGCTTATCATTTTGATAAAGACCAACTATCGCCATGTGTAATAAGACTGTCATAACAAAATCTGGAATAAAATACCCTGTAGGTCTGTAAACACAAGCTTGTAATCTTAAACAATTGCATTAAGGTAATTTCTATTTGAGCTAAGTTTCACTTAATGTTTAGATTTGGTAAAGTTTTAATTTATGTGTTAATTTCTATTATTATACTGACATCACACTTTGCATGTTTCATAAACTTTAGTTTAAAACTAAACCAAAAGTAAAATGCAGTGCATACAATTAGGAAAATGATTTCTTCCTTTATTTCAAGTTAGTGCAGTGTTTTACAAACCCCACAATAGTTCTGGCAGGACATCTCAAAACCAAAACTGATACTCAAATAAAACTGGAATTAACATAATTTTTACATTAAAGTAAGATATGATCGAATTAAAAACATGCAGAAATATGTGGGGAAACTTAAAAAGATGATAAAATCCAACAATTATGTACATAGAGATGAGATGAAGTACATGAATCCAATCTGTGTTTTTACAGGTACTTACAAGATAAAATTACAATTTTTCTGTTAAATAAAAAACTTGGTGAGAAAGCTTTTCAACTTGTTTATTTTACAATGCAATTATTGCATTACGCTGAATCTGCAAACCTGCAAAGCTGAGAGTCTTTAGAGTGGTCAGAGTGTCTGCTCAGTCCAAAAAGAAAATGTTGTTGAACTGTGTTGCACAAAGCCTCTTTACTTCCTCTGAAATTAAAATAAAAACAGGAGAAGGTTGGGATCATTACAGCATATTCTGGAAAGAAAATTCAAATGTACATTTCCTGGTGGTGAAGACGTACCATTTACTTCAATGAGATTGGCATTTTTTTGGTTTAAGATCACATACAGCTCTCGCTGGTCGGACTTCTTACCGACAACCCAGTAGTCGGTCATAGCTTTCACGATGATTTCCTCGTCTTCATCAACCCTAGGAGGCAGATTAGCAGAAATAAGAGAATTTAAACAGTTTTTAATTGTGGTTATACTCAGACTTCTTGATGTTTTATAAAATGTGCTTTATGAGTGTCATTCTAGAAGTCAGTTTCTAACATTTTAAAATAAATAATTTAGAGGTACCCCTATAACCTCACAGTATGTAATTTTGTTTATTTAGCTAAATCTGACACCTGCCAAAGAGTTGGTGAGCAAAATAAACTGAGGTGTCAGAGAAAAGTGTTGATGTGAGGCAGACGGTGATCATTTCTGTGCAAAGTCGAGACAAAGCGGCTGTTTTAGCGCATCTAAAGAACTTCTAATAATGAAACAAACCATGGAAGCTTAAAAGTCCTTTAAGATTTGTTTACAAGAGCTTAAGTTACTTTTAATGCAGCAAAACAACATATGTTTACTTTAATTCAAGGCATTGCTCCCTTACATGCACATGAAGTGAAAAGGTGGAGTTTCTCCTATCTACTTTAACAAACATCCCATTAAGTAATAAAAAACATTTCATAAAGCTTTGTTACAGAAAATGCTGTACCTCGCAAAGTCACAGTTGATGTCGCCCAAAATCTTCATGAGGTCAGGGTGGACTGAGGTGAGACACACACTGGCGGTTTTTCTCATGTGAATAGTGCTCTTCTCCGCCAGATTCATGTGGTTAAAGTAGATGAACTTAAACTGGGGCTCCTTCTCCGGCCTACAGGAACCAGATGAACAAAAACATTTCAACCGTGGATTACAGCTCCTCTGAAACTGGAATGAATCAGTTGCTTAATTCAAACAAGCCCTGGGTTTCTATCCATAGGAGGAGAAATTCAGGAATGATGTAAAATACCGGCTGAGGAATTTGGAGCCTTGTTAATTATTCAGTGCATTCTTTACCAAGTTGATTAGAAAGGAGTCCATCAGATTGCAAAAGCCGGTCTAAGATTACGGATCAGGAGCTAGCTGCCAGTGCAGCGGACCCGTCATTAATGGCATGCTTGTGTTACCTGGAACCATGATCTGCAGTAAGGTTAGAGTTCTGTTTGCTGCTGCCAGCTAGGCAGAGCTAATGTTGACAGCTAATGCATCATTATCAGCTTCCTGTTGCTCATTTAATCTAATCTTAAATGTCATCGGCCTTAATGGGGCGTTATTTATAGAAAAAGCTAACTGCTCAGCCTTAAAATAATTGAATTAAGAATGTATTGGGATGATGTCATGTAAAAACAATCTTGCACAGTTTCAGGCTAAAGTTTGAGCAGAAAAAGGTTCTTCCTCTAAAGGTGACCCAGATGCAAGCAGATGTAGGTTTTATTCCTAAACACAGAATACTTACCTTCTGGGGAATAATGATAAAACATTCAGCTACCCAAGTGTTTATAGTAAACAGCAAGGAAAAAATGTTTTTTTTTTTCCCTCGTTCACAAAGGATCTAAAACTACACATACAGGCTAAAAAATATGCAGATACCAACTGATTCCTTTTGAGCAAATTGCTGGTAACCTTTAACTTTCTGCAGTTGGTATAAAGCTTCTGGAAAAACATTAATTTGATGTCCGACTAATCTTCCTGTCAGGAACCAGAGAGTTTAATCAAATGAGTTAGTCTGATGAAACAGACAGTTTGAAGGGTTTTCAATGGTTATTCCAAAGGATCAACGTTAGCCTGCGATAACCATCCAAGAAGCAGTGATGATGTGGGCTGGGAGAGCCTTCCTGTTGGCATCACTGTGCAAAAACTCTCCTCAACTGATCCAAAATATTACCCTTAGATAACCATTATCAGTTATTTAGCTTTGGAGTCTTTTTCCTCTGGCAAACTGAATCTGGGGTAGAACCGCTCTTTCTCAGCTCGGGCCAAAGCCTGACCTCAGCTCCAGCTTCACTAACATTGGAACTGTTTCAGTGCAAAACCGTCAGGGTGAGGCTCTCTAAATGAAAAGATCCAACTGCTAAGTGTGGTTATAGCAGCAACATGGTGAGGGTCCACAGGCACGTTACACAGGGTGGATGAAATCACCATGGGATATGGTGACCTCCACCATTTACCAGTCCTGGATCTTAAACGTTTATCCTCTTGTGACACAGATTAGGATAAATCTGTTCAAACTTTTAAACTGTGCCAACAGGTCTCTCTGACAAATGAGAACTTGTGTCTCACTGAAAGTAACTGTATTAAAAAAAAAAGTTTGATAATAATAATAATAAACTAAGATTAACTGATATCAGCAGCAAAATGCTTTAATTTTAGACACCATTATATGCAAAATAATGACAAATGATAAAAACTAGTTTAGTAATCGATGGAGTAGATTAAAGGTATAGTGGAGGATGTTCTTTTTCCATCAAAATAAGTGGTCCTCCTAATTTTCAATCATTCTGTTGATATGTTTACGTAACGCCGTCCTACGTGCTCGTCCCCATTTTCCCTTACTGGTGGTGAGTCTGACATAGGAAAAATTTGCTTACTTCTTATGGAAAGTAAGCTTGTATGAGCATTGCAAACAGCAACTTTTAAACAGAGGATGCACGAGGAGAAATGGGCTTGTGCACGCTCACACTCGTTTAATAGGCGTTCCCTCTCAGGAGTGGGTACAGGTTGAGTATGTGAATTTTTTATTTATTTTATTTACAAAACCACACTAAACCTTTAACCTGAAAATGTTCAGACTATACTTTTAAGACGGCCTATGACAGAAACCAAACAATTGAGTCAGTCAGAGCTGGCTCAGGGATTCTTAACGGCTTCTAAGAGGATCGTTGTTTGCTGCTAATAAAGCTCATTTATCAGACAATGTTTACTTTTCAGGATATGTGGATCACAGAATATCCACAACAGATAAATTCACCTTTTCATTGTTAACATCTTTACAAATGTTTTTCTTATTATGATGGAAAAATGAAAAGCTCAAATGTCTTTAAAATCCCCAAATCAATAAATAATTTATCCTGTGGATCCGGATGCATAAACCTCTGACTGAAGCTTAATTTGTGGAACGCAAACTTTTTGATGCCAGGACAATTTATGAGTCAGTTTATAACAGGACATCAATTAGAAGCTCATAGATCACATAGAGGTTTTTAAGATGGTTTCTGATTCTTTTCAGGACTAAATTAAATGTCAGAACAACGTGGATGACTGATACTGTTCAGAAGATGAGGACTAACTGAGAGATCTGCACTGACCCAGAAATCCTGCGGTTTATTGTGAACTGTTCACATATATCTGATGCCAGCAGAGTGAGCTGGGGGCCCACCAAGCTGTCCAGCTGCTCACAGAAGTCCCTGGTCAGCTCAACAGAGGCTGGTGAAATATGGTTAGAAGAAGAAAGTCAGTTCATTTTATGAAGAAAAAAAAAGTCTTAAATGTGATAAAAATCGAAAACAGTTATAAGAATAAAGGTTTAAACTTACCACTGATCATAAAACAAGCAGCAGCGCTCATCGCCTGCAAAGGAAAACCAAAACATAAAACACGTTGGTACAGGTTTCATGGAGAATCTAGGTCAAAAAGGTTAAAAATTCACACTAATCTGATGATAAGCACTGCGGGAAATGCTTCATTTTAAAATTGAGCCATCTAATCCAGAAAAACCCATCAACAGAGAGGAAAATATTTAATCCTAAATCTAGTATAATAAAAAAGAACTAAAATCCCCTCCATTACAGATTAGTTTAGAAAATCATCCATGAATTGACACAAAATATGAGCATACAGTAGGAACTTAAAAAAAATAAAATAGAACAGAGACTGGTTTATTTCCACACACCTTATAAACGATGAGATGCAGCTCTTCGTAGCCATCCTCTGCACTGACAAATATTTTTGGAAATCGGAACTTAGCCTCTGGATCTTTAAGGTTAGTAGGTCCTGTCAGAAACCTGAGAGAACAAATGGAGACCAGGGAGTGAGACCTTTAAGGCGATTTTTAATTTAACATGAGTTTATAGTTTTATAGACATCTGGAGGCTTTAAAGGAGGAAATATTCACTGATCTTTAAAGTCCAGAATCTAAACAGGTCTGGGCACCGTCTTAATCTACAGCATGAGCTTTATTTTAGGGCGTGTTTAGCTGAGACCTGAAGGCAACATAATGTTGCAACAACAACAAAAAAATGGAACTTTACAGATAATTAACTGGAACAAAAAATGAAACTTTTTATGAGCTTTAATGAGTTATATCAAGAGGCAAGCTACTGTTAGCCTAGCATAGCCGCAGACATTTCCCTCAGCCAACATTAGCATATTTTTTCAGCAGTTGGACATAGAAGAGTCAACTGCACCCCCCACTTCCCAAACAAAGAACCTCATGTTATCATCAGCTGTGCGGTCAGATAGGAAATAATTAAGAAGGAAAGTTAAGAAGTTCACGTAATATAAAAAACTTTTAGACCCCCCAAAAATAACCTGACTATGTTATACAAAATTTACTAGTTGTTAGAACAGATATCCAAAAAAAGGCGGTCAATTTTTGAGGAGAAAAAATAAAAAAAATAAATCACCCCCATTAATTTTCTCTTCTTACCAAACTGTTAAAACGTTTAGCATTAGCCAAACAATTACATTTTATTTTATTTTTTAGCCTAAACAATGTGTTTGTCTTTGTAACACACAGGGCCACACTACATGGAAACTAGAGACTGACATTTTTTCGGGAATCCCCATGGGATTCCCGTGGGATGGGGGTCAGTATTAGTAACGATCACGTGATTGGGACGGTACAAGATTAAACATTAACGGGAGCAGACGGGAGTGGGAACAAACCAATAGTAACTAAAAAAAAAAAACTAGGATCGATGCCAAAAAATAAAATAAAATAGAAAGAAAAAAAATCCAGTACTAGCGCCGCTATTTTGTAGTTTTTTTCTTGAAGCCTACACTATAATGCAAAAAAAACTACACGACCCAAAAACCATTTATAATTATTATTCCTTTTACTTTAACTGACCTTTACTAGAGTTAGAAACAGGAACTTAACTGACCCTTCATAGAAATTCAGATTCAATGTATCGGCAGAAATCTTATTGAAGACAACAAGAATGGGAGTGGTGCAGGAGAGCGGGAGTCATTCTGAATGGGAGTGGGAGTAATTTCACCAGGAGTGGGACGGGACAGTATTTAGATTTCTACTCTGGCCCGGGATCGGGATGGGACACTGTGTTTTTCTGTGGGAGTGGGACGGGACAGGAGTGAAAATCTACTCCCGTTTCAGTCTCTAATGGAAACACACAAAAAAAAGAAATTGAGAGACAAAGAGAAAAAAAAACAATTTAAGGAAACCCTGTACTGAACCGGACCCACAGTAAGAGAAGGAAGAAGAGAAAATTTTGTTTGCCGTTAGATATTTTGATTGCATCTTGGCAGATAAATTTCATCCTGCTTCGATGATACATTTTCTTCTGAATGTTTAGGTGTTTTTTATTTTTCATTTTATTGTAAACACTTAGTTGAAGCTTGTAATTAAATATTTAGTAAGGTTTTAGTTAAAAATTAAAAACGCTTCTTAATTGGTTTGTTGATAGAAAAGAAAGAAAAAAAAAAAAAAACTGTCTCACAGTCAAATAATTGAATATATAAAGTGGCTCAATCTAGAATCAGATTTCCAGTTTCTAACATTATAACTCTAGCAGTATTTTTTATGAAGCAGTGAGGAACAGATGAGAGAGTCCATCATTCCGCCGATTCAACAACTGTTATGACTCTGAATCTATGAGGAAATGTTCAGTCCTCTGAAAAAACACCAACAGTTAAGAATCCAAAATGTTTGGATAAACCTGAACAAATTGGTTTTAAATCTTTCTTGATTTAAGAGTTTCCATGAAAACTATTAAAGTATACATGTCATTACAATGAAAGCTTTAGTCCAGGCCAACAGAAGTACAATGGTTGGAAAATGTGTTTTCCTTACTGAAGAACAGATGAGGCTAAATCCACTGGAACACAAATAGTGTAAATTTTCACAAATTAAATACCGAGAAAACACCTGCATTATGATTGAAAGGCTGATTTTACACCAGCTGAAAGGAATCCAAGAGATGAATTATAACCTGCCTGCTTTGTGATGTACACAGATGACACTGGCAGAATAAATAAAATCACATTTCTGCCAGATTACAGCACTGCAGGAGGCAGGATTAAGGATAAAGGAGGACTTACCTCCCATAGTGCAACAGATTTCCTGTGACTTCAGGCCTCAGAGGAGAGTCTCTACCAGCCAACTGCAGAGGGACAGAGAGACGAATAAAAAAGGTTTCAGAAATCATGTTATTTTAGAAAAAAATAATGTTTTAGATCCTGATACAGGATTCAAAGGTTTCGGAACAAACTAAATTCATTGTTACATTCTAGTGTCTCTGGCTTCTTGTGATCTGTTCAAATAATTTAGTCCAATGAATTTGTTTACTTTAGCACCTTGCAAAAGTTTTCAAACCCACTGATATCTGAGCACATGTAATTAGATCATCTAGTATTAGTACATTTTGGAAAGAAAAGAATTATAAATGGACGGCAAACTCATCTCTCAGCCATTAAACTCACACAATTCTTTAATTATCTGAGACTGAATGAGTGTCCATTTTCTGTAAGCCATAATAATCTCTTAAAAAGTTCAAATTCAAAAGTTAATTTTCTAAAATGGGAGATGAGATGTTTAATTTTTTCACAATATCCAAAGTTTGAGTTGATCGTTTCCATTTCATGAGGTCATCATCCTACTTATGGTGACCAGGCTTTTCGCAAGGAATTATTTTATAGTTTGTACACCTTGGTGTAGCATCTATTTAGGCTTTGCAGGTCGTAGGTGGCTAAAAATTTAAAATTTAGGCTCTATGAAGCTGCATTTCCTGCATTCTGAGGTGGATTTTGGTTTCTTTTTTTTTTTTTTTCCACCCTTACTTTTTTCTTGTTTTTGGGAGTTTTTTTTGTTTGCTTGGGGTTGGATTTTTCTTAGTGAGGCCTTTGGTTTGTTTCTTGGTTTGTTTCAACCACCCGGAAGTTTTATTGTTCGTTTCCCCCGGCTGTTGTTTTCGGCGGCAACAAAGTTTGTGCTGCTTCATTTCTGATGCTTGTCCATATTAATGTTAGACATCCAGTAAAGTGTGTTCAGATGCATCTGATGCTTCTGCTGCTCCTGTGTTCACTGACAGAGAGCGGATTTGCTATATTTGCTGTGATCAGTGGGTAAAAAGTAGCTTTAATATTTTTATGTGAGAAAGTCCACCTGAAAACATGGTCTATGCAGTCAGTTCATCAGGATTATGATCCTTTCTTAAAAAAGTATTTCTCTATTAGAGCCGCTCAAACCTCCACATACTGCGTTAGGCCCTCCCCTGCTGTTGGTGGCGGCTGGAAGTAGATGTTAGTGTTTTTCAGGTATGTGACTCAAACTGCAGGCACCACAATAATAAAAGAACACATTTTGCTGGCAGGTTTGGATTTTTTAAGTTAGTTTAGGCATTAATAAAATTTTCAGTTCAGGTTAGGGTTAGGTGTAGGGTTAGGGTCAGCAGCACTATCTGTCTCCCTGCCTGCTACCAGATAAGCTCCTCTCATTGGTTGATGTCATGCATCAAGCAGCAAAAGTTCTAATTTTCCAACTCCAGCTTTTTTTGCCTGTGAAATTTTTAACAGAGTGATTTTTTCAGAAGAGAAAAAAGGGGAAATTTCTCATTTTTGACAATGTGCTATCTAATAGCCTGATGGTGACCCATCTCAGCATCTAACAGAGTTTCTCATAGGATGGTTCTGTATTTGTTGTTTCCATTAAACCTTGATCAGCTTCCACGTCGCTGCTGAGAAACTTCCTAACAGCAGAAACCTTTTTTACCTTAGAATTTAAACATTTTTGGTTGAATCGATAAAATGCGATAAAGTTTGCCAGGCACAGTGACACAGTTACACTTCCATCTACCTCAGGCTCCGAATGCCTGGGAAAAAGAGACGTGGTCAAGTATTTGTAAAGGATCCTCATGTCGTCCTGTTCCAGCCCACTCCTGCACAAACACGGAGACAAAAAATAGAACCAATCACTTTTAAACCATTAAAATAATCATTAAAATGCTTCCTCTTTTGCAACAGAGAGCATATCACTTATACAGTAATAATTAAAGAACCTTTTCCCTGTCTGTAGAAGGTTTTCTGTGAATTCCTTTAGTTGACAGCCATGTATTTACCTACGGATTATGGAGGCTAACATTATGTGACTAGTCAAACCACAAAGAGGATTAGGTTCATGTCTAGTACCACCTCTGTTTATTCAGTGTTTAATTATTAGTTTACACACTCTAATATTGTGATTCTACCATTGTGAGAAGCTGCAAATATGCAGTGTTTGTTCTTAGAGGAGTGGGAGCGGACAATATTCACAGAGACTAGATTAGTTGGACAAGCTTGCAAAGTTTTAAGCATTGGTACCAGATAAGCTGGTCGTTATAGAGGAAGGACGTGTATTTGATGAGGCTGAGGCTCTCCTCCACTCTGTTAACAAATGACTGAATCTTCAGGTAGGTCATCTTGTCCAGCGGAAAGAAGCTGATGCCTCCGAATACATCCAGCAGGTCACAGGACTGCAAGTGGAGCGTCTGCAGATACTGGAATGCCCAGAGAGAACACGCAGACACATACAGAGACAAAAAAAAGCAAAGAAACGGATTAGTTTACAAAAGCTTGTTTACAAGGCAATAAAGACAGCAGACTAAGCAGATCTTGACCGGTCGGCTGAAGAAGCTTCTGCATCATTAAAAGGATAAGATATCCATCTGACAATCAAGGTCAGATACAGAACACCGTAACGTCTACTTTCCCTCCGTGTGTACATTACACATCGGAGAGGGAAGCCTGGATCCACTTCGGGTGTTTCCTAATTAGAAATGAATTTTTAAAACTTTTCTACAGTGTTTAATCAAACAGTTCTGTTGCTGCTGAGGAAGGAACGTATAATGCGGGTCGGGAAGGACCAAGAAATTAAACACTACTGCAAACAGGTCCCAACTGTTTACAAAGGCACTAAAGGAGCCACCTGAAATAATCATCAAATACTCAGAGAGGATCTCAGTGCTTGTGAAAACACCAGCTGTCAGGCTCTGGTGACTTTTTATGGAAGCCATGGTGGAGTTAATTTGACACACTGTGCTAAAGACAATATGTACAGTCAAAAACAAGTCAAAACATAAATACACCTAGCAACAACATCCAGTAGAAAAGAGTCATTGGACAGATGTCAGCGATATTTACCCTGTAGAAAAACTTTTCAAGCTTCTGAATGAGCAGCTCCACTCCACCCGCTTCCATCGCTCGACCAAAGGTGCCGTTAAATAGCTGAAAAAGAGAAGTCATTGTTAAACTCTAAGCACATCTGAGGGTTCAGGTTATCAGGATATTAAAGTCATAGCTATAACTTTTAATCAAAACGATCAACTTCTCAAAAATATGAGAAATACGTCTAGAGGTGCAAAATAAAAGCATCCATTTTACTGAAAAAAAAGGTTTAAAAACAGCAGGTTGCTTTATAAATTTTGACGGCTGCATTAAATATTTACATCGGGTTGTGAAGCCAAAGTCAGCATGAAAGGATTCTGCACCAATAGGAAAGCAGGTTAAAGTCATGTGAGAGATTTCTCCTTGATAGAGCTGGCTTTTCTCTGAGTTACGTTTCCCAGCCTCCTTCTGATCACATTAAATTGTAGCCCCTCCATTCTGTTCCTTCACCTTTCATGGGGTCAACAATAGGAACACTGTCCAGGTTAGATCAGTAACTCCAAACTGCTGTGGTGAATCTGAATGGCGTTCAGCCTTATGGACACCAATAGAAGAAGAAGAAGGAAGGATGTTTGCTTTACAGAAAACAACCATTTGACAAAAGAAACAAACGACTGAAACTCTCCATTAAAATGCCAAACCTGCGAAGGTGTGAACATTAGCATGTGTCACACAAATACAGGTGAAGAAGTAATGCATTTTTCCAAAACTCTGTGAGGTGGGCTGTACCTTTATGTTCTGTCACACAAAGGATTGTCTTAGCAGGGGAGCTTCCTGTTAGGGATGCAACGGTTTATGAAAACCGTCCGAACTGTTCGGTTCGACTGTCTCGGTTCGGTTCGCGTGTGTTTTGTTCGGTTCATGCGCTGCTCCTTTTTCTCATAGGTGAAGCGTTTACACTCCAGAGCAGAAGGTGGCGGTACTGCGACCAAAGCCAACCACCAGTAGTAAACAAGAAGAAGTGAAGCAGCTTAACCGGGCGTAGCAGAAAAAAAATCAGTTGTTGTGGAGAATTGTGTGGGTATGGCGAGTGGGAAAGAACAGGAGTTGGAAGACGCGCCAGCAGCACTTTATAGGTCTGCTGTATGGGAGCGCTTTGCATTTAGAGTGACCTACGATGACGGCGGAAAGAAAGTTGAGGATAAAAGTGCAACAGTGTGCAAGCATTGTGCAACACGTTTTGTTTATGCTAACAGCAACATGTCATGCTAACCCCGAAATCCCACATACTCCGTCAGCGCTCTGCCCCGCTGCGCTCCAGACCGGCTGCTCAAAGCAAAGCCTACAGCCTCCACTGGCTGTAGGAGGTGGTAGAGGGCATGCGCCAGATGATTAAGTTCAAAGCAGCAAAACATACGGAAATGATCCATGGTTTCCGCGAATCATTAAAAATAATTACAATTCATAAATTTTTTTTTTTTTTTTTCATTAATTTTTATGGGATTTCAGTGTAACAATCAACATATACAGAACTGAACCGAAAACCGTGACCAGAAACCGTGAACCGAACCGTGGATTTTGTGAACCGTTCCACCCCTACTTCCTATGCTTTATGAACTGGTGATAGGAAGTATACTGCTTCCCCTTCCTAGCTCCTTCCTAACTAACAGAACTATTCTGATGGAACTAATTATTATGCACCTCTACCTTCGCTTGAATGTCCTCCCTGATTTTCAACATTGGAAACAAGCCCCAAATTAAAGCCAAAAATCCCAAACAGGAAACAAATCGACGGTGAACATGTCAAGATTTTAATCAGTGACGACTTAAAAAAGAATAGGGGCTTAGAAGCTACGCAGATGTTCCCACATTTCTTCTGAACAGGCACTATGTGTAAAGCTGCTGCTACACTGCAATTTCCCAGCTTGGGATAAATAAAGTACATCTATCTATCTATCTATCTATCTATCTATCTATCTAAAACACATTTGGTAAAGTTAACTAAAGGTTAGTATTTGGATACCTGGCAACCGGCAGGCGAACAGTACGGAACGAAAGCGACTGAGACGAGTTAAAGTTGTAGCTTTCACCTTCAAGGACGCAGCGTTGTTAATGCGAACTAGAATCATATATTTGGTGATTGATCAAGATTAACAAATTTGAAAAAAATATCAAATTGTCTAATAATTTACTAATCAAATTGTTTCCTGCTGTAATAGTACAGACTCTAAAACTTGGCACTTGCTGATAGAATAACCTACTTACAGCAGTAATTAAGACAAAACTGCATGGATACAAAGCAACATTTTAAAAAAGTATAATATATCTTACCGTAACTTAAAAAAAAAAAAAATAATTGTTTATTAATATATTTGTAAAATTAAATTTGCATGATCGGATATTATTTACCCTTTAATTACTCTGTCATATGCTATTAATTTTAATTTGTGCAATGATCTTTTTCTTTATTCAAATGTTAGCCCTAAGGTGAAGCAGCCTCTGATGCAGGAATAATTCTTACCTTGTACATGCTGTAGCACTGCCGAACCACTGCACCATAAACCGTATCCTACAAGGAAAACATGGTGGAAAATTGAAATGAGAAGGTTAGGAAAAAATTGCATCAATAGGTAAATGAATAAAATGAATTAAAAGTATCTGTTTTTTTGTGTGATTCCAGTGCTTCTTAAGCAGCAGATTAATTATTAAAGTGATTCTGATTAACCAGCTCCTAATTAAGACCCACTGCTACAGTCAAGTTGAATTCTAACAGATTTTGGTTTTAAAGTATTTTTATTCAGTCAACATATTCTCTCACTGAAAAAAAATCAATTAATGCTTTTGGATTGATAGTAACAAAGTGAATCTAAAAATTAGCAGAGCGAGCTAAAAATTCGGGAGATGGTACAGAGGGCCTTCAACACCAAAGGTTTGAAACTCTCTCCTGGAGATAAATCATCATAAATCTGGAAGGTTCATTAATCCCAGAGAGGGTTTGACTTTTTAAAAGGGTACTAATAATTTAAAATATGCCCCTTTTAAAAACTTTTTTTAAAATCTTATTTTTACTCAATAAAGAGCAGAACATATCCTGGACAATAAGAACCTGATAATAATATCCTATCACATGTATTTAATCTATATTTCTGCTTTAGTCTGTGGGTCAAACAATTTATAGTTAAGATATATTTATTTGCAACTAATAATTAATAAAACCCTCGGTCACCTTTCACCACTAGAGGTGCTAGACCTGTAAATTCAATTTTGGTGCCCTGAGAGCAAAAAGCAATTCTGAAATATCACAAAATGAAAGAGATTCCCTCGATGTTTTGGAATCTAATAGCAGAAAAAAAAAGCATAAATCTCAACAGAAATAAACATTTATTGCTTTTTTTTGTCTTTTATCAAAGTAATACAATCATTTTGTTTTTGGTTTTTTTGTTACAGACCTATGATACTTAAACTGAGGTAATTTTCTCAGTTCATCCGCAGCCCTTGCCTTTTTACAAGCACCAACTCACAAGTATTTCCTCTTCTTGATACTCTATCGTTGGAGGTTTGCCATCTTTGTTCGGCTTCTCAATCATTGGGTTTCGAACAACCTAAGGAAAACATAAACAAGAAAATAAAAACACTACACAAAGCATTAAAGTTACTAAAGATGGAAACAAGTCCACAGCGATCAAGAAATCTTTAAATGTTAATTACCATGACTATCCAAAAATGTTCCTCTGGCTCAAAGAAAAACTGCCGATTCTTCTGTGTGTGCAGAGATTTTGCTGGTTTTGTTGGACAGAAAGTCCTGAAACACAAAAGGAAGGGGAATGGAAAAATATAGAACAAAAAACAAAGCTCCTTTGTTCTCTATAATAGTTCTGATATGCGTCAGTGAGCAAGCACACACTAATTAAATAATTTCCCTGTTCTGTCAAAGATCACTTTTCATGGATGAAAACTACACTTTATGGCTACATTCAGCATTAATGCTCAATTCTGTTTATGTTTTGTGAAATCTGTTTCTTTTGCGTGGTCGTTCACATTTGAAAATATATGCGACTTGCATGTGATCTCCCGAGCAGTACAGCACGCAATGTCATCACAAGCTAGCCTGCTCTGTGTTTAAGAAAGTAAACATGGATGGTAGCGCTGGAGCGCATCTAGTCATCTTTCCTAGCCTCAGCAGGGACATTAACAACACAATCTTTTCTAGATCTTTTAGAGGCTGCAAAGGACATTTAAGTGACTAAACATAAAGCTGCATCTACCATGAAATAATAATAGAACTTTATTGATCTTACACTGGAGAAATTTACCCCTGCATTACCCCATCCCCTGGGGAGCAGTGGGCCGCCATCATGGAGTGCCCGGGGAGCAAGTGTGGGGCTAAGAGTTTTGCTCAAAGACCCAGAATGCAGGAATCAAACCAAGTACTTGCAACTTTGTTAGAGCACCAGTGCACTGCTCTAACCACTAGGCCAAGACTCCCCCAAGAAAGAAGGTCCTACTGAGATTTAAACTTAGATCTCTGGATTCAGAGTCCAGAGTGCTAACGATTACACCATAGAATAGCGTAGCTCAAAACATATCCCAGTGTTAAACTGATCCAGTCAATGAAGAGACCTAAATCCATCTAAGAATTTGCAGCAATACTTAAAAGCTGATTTTCAGACACTTCATTCAGTCTAATGTATCTTCAGGCATTTCCCATAAAAAGTATTAATTTTACCTTGTGAACTGAACAATTGCTTCACAAAGGCCCACATTTCGGATTTTCTCATTCTTCTCGACCTCACTCGGGTGGTAAAACAAAATCTTTTTCTCTTCCTAAGTGGAAATATTTAAATGAATTAAAATCATTCAAAAACAAGATAAAAGGACGTCATCCACTGAAAGTCCTGCTCACCTCTCCTTCGCGTGGTCCAAGCGTAGGGTTATAAATGAAAAAACTCAGAAGGGATTGTGTGAACTGTTTCTCTTGCGCTCCTGAGGCCATTTTGGGACTGAAAAAAGGCACAAAGACAAAAAAAAACAAAAACCTTCAGTTTCAATTAGGTCACACCAGTACAATCTCTGAATCCTTCTTACCTTATCATTAGCATTAGTGTAAACTGTATCTGGGTTTCCTTTCTTCCAGTGACAATCTGGGTACCATGCCGTTTGCCTACAGGACAAAATAATTAAATAGAACTTCTAAGCTTCATCTCTCATTAAAATGCAGTGAGATGTTAGTCAGCACCAAAGCTCAGCAACCTTTAAAGAGAGACTTTTTTCCCTTTAATTCATTTAAATAAACATGGTTAGAGTTCATAGTTTGTTTGATAAATATCTACAATAAAAAGTTTGTTTGAATTTTTTACAAAATCACAATTTGCTTCATATATATTATGCTTAAAAAAATGGGGTGTAAATCTTCTGCAAAACCATGATAGCTATATGTTCTTCTATTGGATGATATTTGTGTAAAATGGTGTAAAATCAATAGAATAATAAAGTGCTGTATGGAAGAAAACCAAAAACATTAAAAGGTCAGTACATCAAAATAAGTAATTCAGTGATTTCTAAGTTATTGGCTTTTAGTTGGTTCTTCAAAATCTTAACAGATTCCACTGACCTCAAACTAAATAGCAGATGGTTCAAATCACCTGCTAAGGATATACTGATGTAAAAGGAATGAGATGTTAGCTGATGCTTAACTGTTCAAAGCCCAATAAGTGAGAATAAGATCTTAAACTGTTATCTGGAGTCAATGGGGAGCTACAGAAGCAGCAGCATGATATAAGAAAACCTAATGTTTGGTTACAACTCTAGCAGTAACCTCTTGTCTGTACGTGATTTTAAGAATAATAATAATAATTATAATAAAAAAAACATGAGGAAACCAGACCCAACATGACCATCTGAAGTAAAAGTCAAAATTTAACAGAATTTCTGCTTAAAAGGCCGATTGACCAAATTCTGTACATTAAACTTGTATGTTTTCTGGAAAATAACAATAATATCCGTGTTATCTTTATTATATATTTTTCCTACTTTATACACAGTCTGATCATTTCTCTAAGACATGAGGTTTTGATACTTAATTTTGCTTTAGAGATAAGTGCAAATAATCAGTTTAGGAGAAATGTGAGACATCTGTCAAAGTCCTTAGCGTTTTTCTAAGCAGCTCTAGATGTCAGAGTTTATTATCTTAATTTTAGATCTCCAAAGAGGGAAAAATCTAACTTTATTCGAAAATAACTGCTTTCTAAAAAAAGACTGATCTCCTGTAGTTTGCTGTTTGATGCTTAAAGTCTATAAAAGAGTGAAGCTGACAAGCCGGCAAAATCTCACGAAAAGAAGAAAATGTACCAAAAAATGAGCGTCAAATGTCTTTCAAAGCCAGAGTGTTGCACTAAAATGTTACAAAGTGCATTCAGATGTTACAGAGTTAGAAACCTGACGAGAATCCAATAACTTCTTCCCATTATTTGTAGCTTAGCCACTGACACAGCTAGCAGAACCTAGCCAACATGCTAACCGGGTTACCGAACCTAACTTTACACGTTCGTTAAAAATTAAGTAAGCACTCACCTTCCAGACAATGCGACCCACACGTTCAGATGCACCTAGATATTGTGTAAATAAAGGAGAATAGGGGGGAAATAACTCACATCGCTCACATTATAGCACTTTTAAGCGTTCATTTCCTGCTTTTGACAGTGCGGGGTCACACACTCAGATGTCCGGGTAATGGGGACTTCCCACTAATTAAGGTTCCGACTGCAGTCAGAGTGTGTTGCACAAGTTGGTCTGGTGACATTACCAAAGGCACAATGAAGCCGATAGGACTTTTTTCATGGTGTTCTTGCTGTCTTTCCTATTAATTTTTTATGTTTAATTGTAAGGGGACGCGGGGCAGGTGGGAAGTATGGGGTTACAGGTGTACATACAAGTATGGATTAAGAACAGTGCATGGATTTGGGAACAGGAAAGCAGATGAAAAAGGTTGATGAGAAAATCCCCCTGTTTTAAATCAAACTATTAAAAAACCATGTTGTCTGGTTCAAGAAAAAATATTCTGTTTAAATAAGCACTGGGAAATCACATCTCTATCGTGATAACATAGGCTACATTTTGGACGTAATCTGCACAGAAGATTATCAAGCAGTAGGCCTATAGAATTAGCAACAGTTCAAGTTTTGTTGATCAGTCTCATTATTGCAGTTTGATTCAGCTTCTCCATCCGCTGCAGCTTTAATCAGGACTCAGGGGTCATCGCAATCAAACTCTGTCTCGAAGGCATAAGCTTGGATGGATCTCTTCAACTAAACATCAGAGGCGTAGCCAGAACATGTTTAAATTTTTTACTATAAGGAAGTCCACAGACTGTAGTTAAAAGCCTTCAGCTGATCCAAAATAATGCAGCCAGAGTTCTGATGAAAATGAAAAAGAGAGA